ATACACTACACCTGACTGCTCAGTGTGATTTAATCGGTCCTTGATCTTCATGACTCTGAAGAATTTGCCTAAAAGCGCGAGGGAGAGGAGAGATTTTCTGTGGAATTAGATCTCACTAGCATGACATGTGCGCAAGATTGAAGGTTTGTCGCTCGGTAAGGTAAATATAGCCTCCAGACCGAAGGGGCGTACCGTCTGCCAAAGGCTCGAATAATAGTCTCCAGGATAGACTAGACCGAGAACATATTGAGTGCCTTTAATTTGCCACTAATTCCTCTCATACCACTATTGCCACATCCCCAAATTGACTTTCAAGGGGCGTGCGGGATTCCGGAATAATCGTTCCGATTCTGATTGGCTGTCTGCGTATGACCTTGGAATCGACTATCCTGTGGTGACCTCGAGATAATTTATCACTAATGCCTATCGTGCCAGTACTGCCACATCTCCAAACTGTCAAGGCGCGTGAGGGCTTCCAGGATAATCGCTCTGATTCTGATTGGCTCTCTGCGTATGACCTTGGAATCAACTATCCCGTGCTGACTTCGGGTTGGTGGGTTGAATTTTTCAAGCAGGAAGTGTGCATGTTGCCTCTTCTTATATGTTTATTTCGTTCATCCTCTCTTACGGATATCCTCCGTAGCAATTAACTTCACCTAGGGATTGTTTTCCCCCTTGCAAACTGAAATTTCGAACCCTTAGGAGTAGAAATCCTATCCGACGCCCAACTTCATGGTACTGCTGCTAGCTCGCTCCCATCTTGCTCCTGGCCACGCATGACTTTTCATACTTGTTTGCCAGTTGCTTCACCCCTGCCCACAGGTTTGGGCTAAACTGTTGTTTTTTTTTGTTCTTAACCCTGATTTCACTTTATCGCCACTCAGGTTTGCAGCATTCAAGGAGGCCCACGATAGACGTCTGCTGGAGGAACAGAAAAAGCTCATTGCTGATGAAGAGGCAGAGCTGGCTTTGGCGCCACCACTGCGTCCCCAGGCTGCAATTCCACCACCGCACCACCCCTTCTTCCCAGAGGAGGAGGAGGAGAAGGCGGCAGACGAAATGGATGCCGACAGTGACACCGCCTCAGAAATTGTAGCCAACCTCATTGCTCATAGGTCCACTGTTCACCAACCTGGCGCGCCTGAGAGGAAAATGAAAGATAATGAGGAGGAGACCAGGGGAAAGAAAAATAAAAGGAAAAGTGAGCAGTTTAAAAAACCGCCGCCTTCAACGCCGTCCGATGACGGAGCCCTGCTCCCGGTGCAAAAGCCACAGAAAAAGGCAAAGATACAAAAAGAGTCTGTCACCAAGTCTGACGTAACAATTCCAGGCAACGAAGTCAGGAAGACCGCTGTTATGGAGGAAACTGAGTCCACCAAAGCGGCAAAAATTAACAAGCCGGTCAGTACTACTACTTGCTCGCCTTCACATCTTTTTCATTTAACGACTTACTACC